AGTTATGGAGTTTATGTAAATTCAATAAATCTGAGTAAATCATGTTCTTTTCGATAAATATATAAATGTAGGATAATGCGAGTATGGGTTTCGAAGCAGGTTCGGCTATTTCAGGCAATCCATTGTGTGAAAACGACATTAACACATAAAGGATCAGTGGAGATAATCACATCGTCGATGTATGGACACATCCATATGTACTATATTTAATAAATTTACATTCTGTTAATGACGTCGGTAATGTATGGACGCATCCATATGTCCAACAATGTTGGTGTTGTATAGGACAACGATGTTGTAATTCCGGATGGAGCTCAGTTGATGCAGGTCCCAGTTAATGATCAGGTACTAAATATATTTGAATATTATAGAGTTTGTAGATGGTGAATAGGATGTTCGATTTTATTAGAATCACTGATTTTGATGGCTTATCTGTTTAGATCCTAGACAGTGATGCGTCCCTCGAGAAATTTATTTTATCCCTAGCTTCCTGGGTAATCCCAGATAAAGAATTTGCCGATAAAGCAGATGCAAACGAGAGTAGCCAAGGAGGATTAACTTGTTATTCTAGAAAGGTTCTTGTGGGAAAACATTAGTCATGTTATATCGTGTGTTAAGGATGTTAAAGTAAATATCTATGTAATTAATCGCGCTATGTAAACAGGTACGTAGGACACCTTCAGGTAAAATTCAAAAAAATGCATCTGGAGAGGCACTTGGGGGGGGGCTTTTGGTTTCGAATGCCCTAAAGTGATATCTAGCATTGGTATATTATAAAATGTCCGCCTTAGTATTTATGAGTTGTGCATCCAAAACAGGTACTCAGTGATAGTTTAACTGCATGCACGCCAAGGTTCCTCATTCCTCTGGACATTGAAGTATTGAAGGTGAGTTGTAGTGTTTATTCTGTAGATTTTTTTGTAATTTACATTTACTAAAGTTTATAACTGTGTACCATTATTAATTGTTTATGTTTCAATAGGGTAACAAACCTTTGGTGGGTTGTTATGAGGAAGTTCCAACAGCAGTTGTTATCGATTCTAAAAAATGTATTATTAGCTCATTGGTTCTTAGTCGTAGCGATGCAGTTAAGCTTTATAGAACGTGTATTTTGTAAACGAGAAATCAAAGCATACAGATGTACAGTTGGATGGAATATTTATATTTTTCAAAAACGAAGTTCTTAAGACTTTTATTCTCATATAGGGGGATAAGAATTTGGTGGGTTGTATTGAAGAAGTTACTGCAACCGTTGTGAGCGATGTTGTTAAGGTATCTTAGATGATTTGTTTCCATTATATATTATTATTTGGTAATCTTATATTTTCATTTGTTTGTGGTTAGGGTAAAAATTTGGAGTCTTCTATTGTGTTATTCGATGAGAACCGGAGCGATGTTGAGGGAGTCGAGGTATCCGATATATAAAATAATTTGTCTCAACCACTATAGTTATACGTAAACGATATGAACATGTACATTGTGAATTTTTTATATACCTCTTCATAGAAGTAGTCACTGGTTACGCTTTGATAGGTGAATCTCACTAGTGAAGAGGATGCCCTGCTATGTTTTATAAAGGAGAATCCCGTGTTGACATCCTCTGATGTACTGGCCAAAATCGATGACCATAAACCAGAATTGTTTTTTGGAATACTAGAAAGACAACCAGGAAAGTAAGAATTTAGGTAGACGATGCTGTAAATTAGGAACTAATCTATTTCATAACTAAATTAATATGATGGTTTCATTGTAGGAAGCATGAAATTACTAAGGACCTTACGATAGATAACAGATTTTTCATGGAACTAGCGCAGCCCGGTAGAATTCTGTCGACGACTGTAAGTTTTCAGTTATAATTTGTTATACTTTTACATGAGGTGATAGAGATGCCTAGATACTTGGTTGCTAACAACTACTAAAACGTGTTTTACAGCATATGGAACTCTTAATGGACAGTGTAAACGGTGTTTATTCCGAGACATTTAAGCATGAGAAGGTCTGTTTTACTGGACCATGGTTATCAAACATTTTGCAATCGCGAGCTAGGGCTTGGAAAAATGCTAAAAAACGATATGTTCGTATGGGATCCAAAGCTACGTGATCATGTTACCAAAGAAGGAAAAGCATGGTTTCAGGATGTAGACGCCGTATATTGTCCGATGATTTAGACGGTGTGAGCTGGGTAGGGATGGTCATACAACTCCGATTGTGGTTGCTTATCATTTTGGACCCAAACCCTAGGGCCATTAAACAGAAAGATTTTGTGACAATGATGGAACCATATACCACAATGCTGCCGTACATAATTAAAAAGTTCTGTAGGCATCAGCCGTCGCAGTCTAATGGCGTTTACCCATTTTCCCTTAGTCGCAAAACTAAGTATTCGAAGTTTGAGCCGAAAGATATGAGCGCTGTGGCAATTAAATTCATGGAGCTACACGCTCATGGCGACGAAGGTGAATTATGTGGATCCATTAATAAGGAGCTGATGGAATCATTTAGGAAAACATATGCATTGTTGTTGTTCAAGACAATGGTGTTGAGTTAGGTTCCAGATGGGTTATGAACGTATTTAAGTAACTCTGGTATGTTGAATTTAACGACAATTTGGCCTTTGATATGATACCTATTGAGTATGATGACATGGTTTTTTATACCTATGGCTGTCTATATTGTTGTTATTTGTGATAGGTCTTGCAGTTTATAAGTTTTACATATGCTGTCTAAATGAAGACACGAATTAATGTAATTTGGTTAATGTATAATATGAAGAAACATTTAGGAGTGACCCGTGTTCAAAGTAGTGGTTACTGGCGGATAATTAACCAGTGAATAGACTGTAAATAGATTGTAAATTTGTGTGGATATCCAAGATGAAAACCTGTGAGTTTTTTATGGACTCCAACATATGGACCACCTGCACAGACATGTACATGTATAACTGTCCATATTTTAAAAATGAATGTCTATGGTAGAAAAGATGTGGACAAGTACATGCAAGGGAATGGCTGTGACATGTGAAAATTATATAAGTATAACAAACCGGTGGAAACAGAAATGATCAACTTCTTTATTGAAATGTATAAGAGTATATATAACATGGGTCATTACGCCTTGACTCCGAAACTTATTCTATGGCTGAGACATGTGGAATGGGTAACAGTTGCTATCCAGAGTACTAGGATTTTAGATGCTGTAGTGAAATAATCCAATAAAGGACAACATTGTTAAATTCAGTATACGTATTACCAAACAAATTATGTTCTCCATGGATAACAGTAAATAAAAAACCAAGCCACCTAATGATAGACAAACTACTTATTAGCAACAGGACCTCGTTTGGATACAGCCACAACCTGGCATAGCCACTGAGTAACTACTTTCCATGGATTGCAACTGCTATTATTACAAGAATAATGATTCCAGCCATCACCATCATTAATATAATGTCCGAAAGCTGTTTTGCAACCACCCGGCCCTTTGCAGAAGTTTCTAGATTCCAAATTCTTGCCTTAATCTCTTGGTAATCATGTCCGCCAAGTTTAACCAACTCCAGCAACTCATTAACTTTATCTGTCAAACCATCTAACTCTCGCCACTTCGAAGGAGGATGTATATACTCTCCTCTCTCGGTAACGCTAAACACTTGACTGACTTACTCATGCTATCAAATTTGGCCTTCAGAGTACGATTTCCTCTACAATGGCAACGTCCCACCACTTCCTCATGTCACATCCTCCTTCCTACACGAAACAAATCCATCGTTTAATATTTTATTCATCTAACTCACTATAAATTCTAAAAACATCACCTGTCTCTTCCTGCACGAGTAGAACCTCCTCCCATCATATCCTTCGTTTACGGATGTTTGTTTCAAGTTGGACAGCTTCGCCACAATAGCATAGAATAGGAATACCGTCTTGGAAATCCTCCAATAACTGTAGCCTGGTCTGATGTAGTGTAGCCTGTTTCGATGAAGTCGAGCTGTAGCTATAAATCATTTCCTAAAATCGGTGTCAATTTAAGTTCTAGGTTAAAAGAGTACAGCACATCGAATTCCCATTTGTATGGGTAGACTAAACCTAGTAACAGTTGATTCCCCATGTGGGACCCAAATTTAGCAATCCACTTTAATCGTGTACAGATATCTTTCGTCAGGTAGAATTGGACGTGGTGGTTGAAATAATGAATGTGGATGGGTACAATAACAAGTGATTATTGAGCGAGTATTAGTAGGAATAAATATTTCATGTTATTATACTTAATTACATACCAATAATAACCATTTCACTTTTCATTGAAATGGTAAACCAACATTATATTTGAGGACAGTTTTTTTTGTAGACGATGTACTAAAATTATAGTATCTGGACATTTCCATGTGGAAACATTAGTAGTTGAAAATATCGTGGTGTACACGTCCGGGTGGAACGACTAGTTTGTACTAGTTGTTTGTATTTTGTTCATATTCAAACATTAATATGATTTGTTTTTTTTGTAGAATTAGTTGTGTAGAACATCTAAGTAGACTGATGGGCGTGTATATGTAAATAATAAGCTAATATAGCGAAAGAAGATAATAGGGGAATTGAAGTTGTTTCCGGATAAGACCCCGGCACATGTTCCTAGCAACTTTTTCAAAATACTTTAAAGTTCGAACAGCAAAAGTCACCATTAGTAACAAGCAGTTCCCAGCACATGATAGCAATCAAATAACTACAACATAAAAGATGTCAAAGACTTTAAACATTACACAGGATATATCGGATATCAGTTTTAAAGTCTTTAAGGAATTATTACCCATTGGAGAACTCCTATATTGGATTCTTGCATGTCGATTGGTTGTGCCCGCCTTGCTGACATCGACTGCACTTGTTGGGCACCAATTTGGAAACCCTGGCAGGCTAGTACCAAAGTGATTAGAAGATATAGTCGTAAATGTAATAGTAGTAAATGAGACATATTGCATTTAATGCTTACTCGAATCTCGCCCCTTGATTTCAATCGTTTAGTAGGAGTCTTCCCAGTGGCCTCTTAGTTTTGGGTGGTAGAAGAACAAAGTCTCTGACATGAGTGGGGAGATCAATGTCTTGGCACTCCGCTTCTGGTTGAATTTCACCTTGGTAAGTGGCTGCCCAAGATGTGGGTTTGTAGCAATCACTTACCAATGTATGGTATGGTAATCCCAAACTATCTGCGGCGATCAAAGCGTGACTGCATGGAATCTTCAAGTGATCGTAGACCTTACATGAACATTCCTTTGTTTTTAGTGAGACTACATTCTTATCCCCATCTTTACTTATTATTTCGCATTTCCAAGGTGTAAGAGGGTTGACTCGGCTGAAATCACAACGATTCTTGTGCTCTTGGACGACCTTATCAACTTCAGGAGTGGCCACACCTGCGTGTCTTGATGATTTTCTGCGGCGAGCGCAGAACCAACGACTCATTATGCGTTGAATGAAAACAAGTAATTCCATAATAGAAGACGACCTTCCTAGTTTTAATGCTTTGTTTAACTGTTCAGCCACGTTACTTGTCATCAAGTTGTACCTGTTCCCACGAAAATACGTTCGGCTCCAGTGTGCGTGGCCAATCTTGGACAAATAGGTAGCACAATCAGGGTTTACGTGACGTATTTTTTCAAATAGCAAGGTGAAATCCCTTCTACGGTGTTGATAGGCCGCGGAACCAACCATTTTAGCCATACCTTTGTTGTGATACCTTGAGTTAACGTTCCTCTGGAGATGAACAATACAACACCCATGTTGAGCCTTTTGATAGACCTGCATTTTGGCGTTGTAAATAGAGTCTGCTCGGTCTGAAATGATTGTCAGGTTGGAGCTGTCAGCTAATACCCTTTCAAGCTTCTTTAAGAACCACAGCCATGCAGCATCGTTTTCTGCATCCACAATACCAAATGCCAAGGGGAACAACTGGAAGTTTGCATCCTGTCCACTAGCGGTCAGTAACACCCCTCTATATCTGCCTGAAAGATGAGTTCCATCTATAACTATAAGTGGTCTGACCCTACGGAAGCCAACAATGGAGGCGCCATAAGAAATGAAAGCATACTTGAAACGTGTGTTTCCATCTCATCAACAACTGTTTCTATAGCTGTGATGGTGCCGGGGTTGGCAAGCTTGATCATATAGAAATACGTTGGTAACGGGAGATATGCACCTTCATCCTTACCTCGTGAAGCTGTAAGTGCAATTCCTTTTGCGCGATAACATTTCATGTAATTAACCGTCAGCCGCAACTCCTCTAAAACTAATCTCTGTAGCTCCCCAGCCCGAGGACCATTGATTGGATCGCCATACTTTGATTTGAATATGTACGCAAGAACCCGTGATGAAGCTCTTTTTCGAAAATCCTTCCGAGTTTTGTACGCACATGTGTGGTGTAAGACGATCTTTTGCAGGACAAAAAAACCAGTTTCTCCTAACGCTGCTGCTCTGATCCTCCATAGGCATTTTGAGTCTAAGCAAGTCAATATTAAGTGATTCTTTACTGACCTATCTTGTTTAAAACAAAACCTTCTTTTGATGGCGTAAATAGCCAGAGCTGTTTGGCATTCCGCTATGCTGCCATATTTCTTCCCGACATGAAGTTCTTCGTCACCTTCTGGCCCATCCAAATCCGGTACATCATCAGAAACGTAGAGTGTATCGTCGAATAACGGTGGAATGTCAAAGTCATCATCGTTGTAAGAATCTAGTGACTTTGGAGTTTCAATGTTTTCAGGTTGAGACCTTTGGAATGAAGGGTAAGTCGATTCGGCGATGACAAAGGGGGTGTCTTGGGTGATACTGATGTCTTCAGTTGGGTCGTCTAATACCAGCTCTGGGGCGTTGGAACCACCAAACAGAGTATCAATCAAATGCTTCCAGAATTCTTTGTCATAGTTGACATAAGTGACGTCTTCTAGATCACCAAAAGCATCTTCATTCAAACAACAATCATCGTCACTCTCAAGGCCAGGTACAGCGCGGCCGTTGTCTTCACATGTGGCTGGACTATCATTGTTTGACAAAGGCGATAAAGGCTGTGATGGTAAGAAGTCGAAACTTGGTATGCCTATAGCTCGCAACAGTGACGTATTAACAATAACACTCATTGTTGTAGGGTCGTTGAGGTCTTGTCCAAGTTGTTCACCTTCTTTGGTCCTTGTGGTCATGTCCGGGTATTGAATTGGGGAGTGAATTCTTGTACGCTTACTGAGTTGTTTATTGCTAGACTCAGTTTGACGCCGTATCTCTTCCTCTATTACCTCTGCATGTTGTAGTAGAACATCATCGTCTTGACTATTTAGTAAAAACTTCTCCCCAACGTCAATTACGACAGGTGTCTCACTACAACAAATTTGGGCAATGATAGCACAATATTATAGCGCAGTTTACTAAAATGCTATTACAGATTAGTCGAAGTATTGAGTTACCCTATCACAGCATTTATCTAACGCTAACCCGTTGAAATCATAAGCGGGAAGCCAAATCTCTCCTTGCCTCTCATTTTTTCACTTATGCGGGAACACTTAGAAAAAATAATCATAAGCGGGAAGCCAAATCTCTCCTTGCCTCTCATTTTTTCACTAACACTTAGAAAAAAATAAGGGTTAAGTCGAGAAAGGGTTTAGACGGTATTAAAGGCGGCTTTTGGGTCACAGATACTACTACTGAGCCTTTTGGACACTGGTGTGGTGAAGTCCATGCTTCTTTCTTTAGATTTACCGCAAGCTGGTTGAAACTTTGCAAAGAATTTACAAGAACTGTTTTGACGAAAAAGCTTCAAGAATCCCGACATCGAGCCGGCATTGGTCATAAGGACGGGCGAGTTCCCGTCACTATTCATAACATGGTTCAACGAGGGCCAAAAAGAAAGCGAGACAGAATTAAATAAAAATTCCGGACTTGAGAACTCGACTAGCACATTGTTTTGTAGTTCCCCAACAGTAATACCATCATGGATTGGTACATATCGCGCCATATGGTCAGAATCGTTTGTAAATCTCCAATTCCCATCAGCTTCTAAAGTCCACTCGCCGCAGTTGACTAAGCAATGTTCGTCCATGAGCTGTGGACACAAGTGGATTGATTTAGAATATTATGTAAAAATGATTCTGATGCGGAAAATTTAACTTACCAACAAGAGGGTTGAAGAGCTTGTTCTTAATGTATCTGTTGATATGTTTTTGGGAGAGATAGTTGTAATTTTTTTTATTAAAATAGAGTGGATTGGGAGTATTGGTCAATTAGAATATGTTTGGGAGAATACTTGTTTTTTGAATTCGAAATTGATTACGAAACTTCAGTTTCCCTCCACTTTGTGTACGGTAATTGAGAGAAGGGGGGAAAACATTAGTGGTTGCTTACATTGGGTAAAGGATGGACAGATTAGAGCTAAATAATATATATGATATTTAGTAAGAACTTGCTCGAAAGAAAATGTGAATAAGTATACAGACATTAGAATTACATGAGAAGATAATATAACCATGATCTAACTTGTAATACAATACTAGAGGCAAACGAATTGATTCCTTGAATTCGGCCATTCTCTGAGTAGAACTGAAATGATCTCTGAGAATTTGACAGTTTCTAATTCCCAGAAACATGTGTCACAGAGAGATGTACCCGTGAAAAACATGTTATTCCACTCTTCCCATGGATCAATGTCTGAACAATGACATTTCCACTGGAACGACGAACAGAAGATTTCTTCTACTTTATTATGAAATGCATCAGGGTAACCATTGCAATAGTTTTTCCAGTCAACCCTTTGTGACCTACGAACTAAATATAACCTGATAGATACTGCTGTTTCTCTTGCAATCTCAATAGCGGAGGCACATGATTTATGATGATCCATAATGAGTGACATGTTTTTGTAGCATTACTGGCCTAAGATGTACTCGCTCTTTGCGGACTCCTCAATTAGAGATAACCCATTGGAAAGGTTTTGATCATTAAAGAATTCCGACAAACCCTTTAGGAGTAATGTACTTGGATTCCATTGGGCGTAGCAGTACTCCATAATGGTTCGGACTTCATCGGATCGCCATTTGCAGAAAGTTGTAAGGGCTAGGTCAATGGTGGACATGAGAGATGAAAGTTTTGAAATGTCGTTGAATGGTTTAAGTGGGACCTTTGCAGCATAGAAGTCGTTGAGTGATGATTTGGCCACATCCATGAGAATCAGGAAAAGAATGTCGTGAGGCAAAGAGGATAACAAGTTTGGCGCATCCACAACTCGGTTGAAATCGTTGTTCCTGACCATGATACAATCAAATAAGGAAATGATGAATGAGAATATTATTTTGAAAAAGTTCATTATTTTAGTTATTTTTTGTGTGGTTTGCGTGAATGGTTTTGTGTTATTTATGGACATTATAAATGGACAATGAATTGTGTATGCATTTATGGTGATGTTGGTACATTGGGAAATGATAGAAAAATAAAGTCTCTTTGGACTTGATAATGTGATTTCTCGAGAACAGAATTTGAAAGGAGTCATTGAGAAGTCCATTTTGTATTTTCAAAAATTTGACATAAATTCATAGTTTCAAGGTAAATGTTATTAAGAGTGTGGTGAAAAGAAATGATTAAACTTTAAGTTGAAAGATTTTTGTTTTTACTGACACAGCGTCCTGAACCGTCCACCTGTCATGTGAGGACTTTAGGTAATGGGGAAGCGCATTTATCCAAGGGTGATTCTGTGTTTCCGGCGAAAGTAGTTTGTAGGACAGCTATGGATGGCGTTGTTGACGTGTTAGACAATTTTAAAATTACTGAATGAAATAATTATAAATTATGAGAAGCGCGATGATTAAATTAGACGTCTGAGTCTATTCATAGAATGGCGATGGGACTTTAGGGTCAATTGACGGAAAAAGACAAAGCGATATAGATTAAACTATTTTCCATCATGTTTCAGTTTGAGGATAAGATGGCATACGCATATTCATTGTGGATTTCGAGACTCTTGCACTAGTATGATTTACGGGTTGGTAAAAAGTACGTAATGTGGATATGGCCATTGTGAGTTATTAGCATAAACCCAGAAAAACGTAACGATATAGTTAAGGTAAACAAAAGTACAATACATTGTTAATAATAGTTAAATAAGATAACGTCTTCAATTGTTTAAAGTTTGAAGACTGATGCGTGTCAACTGCGTGAGGGAACAAGTTTTACCCTTAACAAAAACAAATGAAAGCCGCAAGTGCACAGCTAATCAGTTGTAGTATTTAGGGATCGAATCCATATAGATTTGTGTGCCTGGTATTCTTCTACGGTTTCTAACTTTATGTCTAGACTAGATTGGTTTTAAAGGTTGGTTGTTTTTCACGGATTAAATAGAACAAAAGAAAACAAATAAATCTATTCTAGAAAACAAGTAGAAAAATCGAATGGAAAGCAAGTAAAGCAAGTAAAATATCGAACTAAGACAATTGAAAAGCAGATCTAAATAAGCAAGTAAAAATCGATTGGTTTGTAAACTATGGCTAAAAACGCTGAGCTTTTGGGAACTCTAAGGGATCATAATCGGTTTTAACACTAAGGTAGATAGATTGGGATTGACGGATATCGATATATAGGGTTCTAGAGCTAGAGTACGGCGGTATGACTATGTCACTGTCGTGATCATAACCAACTGTTTCTCGCAACCCTGACTAGTAGGTTTCCACTCTGGCCCTGGAAGGGAGAGAACGCAAGAGCTACACAAGACTGGTCAATACTCACGATATCGCCGCAGGTAGGTTTCCACTCCTACGGAAAAATCGCCTGTTTCATTCTAGGGCTGATACTTAATGAAAACTTTCGCAACACTAACTATCTAGATCAGATACTAGGTGATCGATCAAGCATACATGCAATAAGAACAAGAATAAACAGAGAACAAAGTTGAAATCCCAGATCTATAAACCTAGATGTCTTAATCGATTATGAGAGCCCCTTTCGGGAACCCTAAGCCCAACTCGGGATCTACTCAGACATGGCTGAGGTCGACATCATCATTGGTTTTAATAAAAGTAATCAAAAACAGTAAAGAAAAGAGATGAAGAAAGCTTCTCTATTGAAGAACTCGGACTTGAACAATCTTCTACAAAAATCGCATAAAAACGGCTAAAGGAAAAGGGTTTCTGTAAAGTATGAAGGGTGGTGTCTACCTAAATGACAAGTATTTATAGTCTTCAATACTCCATGGTCTCTAGGGTTCCGGAATTGAGGCTGAGAATGACTTTGGGCTTCAGAAATATGGGCTTTGGTTTGGAGTTACCCGGCTGCGGTCAGGAGTGATGTGACCGCGGGGAACAGGTGGTTGGCCGCGGTCGGGAGGCTTGTGACCGCGGGGAATGGGCTGTTGGCCGCGGTCGCGTGACTTGCTGGCCGTCTTCGAGTGGCTCCGGGGCTAATTGAATATCTTGAGATCCAACCGTTGGAATGTCTCCAAACCAAGTGAATTTGAAAGCTGGTTGATTCTTCTATAAGTTGTCCAATTTTGAGGATGATCAGACGGTGAGAAGGTCTTCGTCTCTCCATGAGAGTTCTGACGGTCTGCATTTATCCAAAAGAGTCTTTTTGTTCCAATTTGTGCCTTTCTATCCCAAATTATCTGATAAGTCTTTTAAAATCCAAAAACATAGAAATCCTTTGAAAACCTTTGAAAATGGAGTAAAAACACCTGTAAAAGACATTAAAGTGATCCATAAAAATGGTCAAAATCCGGTGTTATCAACTCCTCCAGACTTAGTCTTTTGTTTGTCCTCAAACAAAACAAAGGCTAAATCTCGGCAAGAGGTTTGAAGATGCAGGAACTAAAAAAAATCTCAGAGACCAAACTTCTAGACCAATATCAATCAGTATGCATCAATCGGGAATAGCCTAGACAATTCTCACTAGCAATACAGCCATAACTAGTCCGTTGATCCGTCATACGGAAATTTATGCACTAAGATCTACCTTCCAGTCAACTAGCTCTTAACATTCATTAAAATTCTCGGTGGTTCTCATCAAAGAAAGTCTAGGCAAGGCAGTCTAGGCTAGGTGTCAAAAGGGTTATTCTAGGGGTAAGGCTTAAAAGTGTTTACAGGTTACCTGAAGATCTGGAGAATGCAAGATATTATTCAAAACCGCAAGAGAGAGTGAAGCTGTTGGTATCCACAGTTTTCAGTCA